ACCGAACCCGAACCGAACCGAACCGAGCGGTTCTTCATAAATTTAATACCCGAACGGGTATCTGAATCGAGAACTGAGGTGTTTGGGTCGGGTCTCTTGTCTAGACCTAGTACCGATACTAATTTATTTTTTTATTTTTTATATTAAATTAATTAAATTATTTTATTTTTTTCTAAAAAAATTAGCAAATTAATTAAATAAATCAGATTATTTCATAATTTTAATTTTAAAGCCCAAATCATTTTTAAAGTCAATTAGCCCATTTTAATTTGCTCATGAGTCATGACTATTCGAATTTGCTTATTAAATTTAAAACCTTCAAATTAGATAAAATTAATCTTATTGGACGGCTAGTTATTTATATGTTGTTTAATTGGGTTACGTTAATTTGTAAAAGTTACGAATTAAATGTCATTAGTTGTATTTATGTAGTGTTGTTGTAAATATTTAAAAAATTAATTATAATACGGAGTCGAACCGAATCGAATCCGAACGGTTCCATAATTATATTTAGAGCTGACGATTCCATTTATTAAATACCCGAAAGTTTTGGGTCTGTTCGGTTCTCGAACCGACCAATGGACAACCCTAGCATTTATGGAGCATATATGGTAAACTTGTACAAAATTATTTTGTGTTCAAGTAGACTGGTTCTGAGATTTTAAGTGTCATGTATGACATTTAAAAGAGTACCATTATTTCACTTACTTAAGAAATGTATTTAAAGATTGTACTCATTCCTCTCCAAATACATTCTTTTAAAGTGATATTTTCACGTGTATCACCTGTTCTCATACACGAGAGCATCCCATTAGCCTTGTTTCGAAAGGAAGTGAAAGCCCAAGAAGTCACGTGAGACAACAAAAATGTAACACTTCAATATTTGTTTTTCTTTCAACACAACATGAAAGAAAAGTATAAAAGTAAAGCTTGAAAGTACCCTCAAAACTAAAAAAGTTCGTATATTCACTCAACAAAAAAGCATCATCCAAGCTGCATTACTTTTTTGGCTGATTCCCATGACACTCCCCTCCTGTTTGGTTTTGTTGAAGTCCTTGTCTGGTACCGATTAAAATTCACATTTTAATTTAAATCAAAACTAACCATATATTTTATGGGTTTTACAATTTTTCTACCACACATTTCATCGGCTTTTATCAAAATCTGAATTTAACCTCTGCCGAACAAGGACTAAAAATCAGATAGTTGATTTCGACTTAAATTTGTACCCTTTTTTTTAGTTAAACTAAATATAGACTTTAAGTTCAGAAAATGTTATAGAAGCACACGACCAACCACGTTGCTTGTATATGATTATCATATGTTTAGACACATTAAACAAATCTATTTAGATGAAATATCTTTGGCAACATGTTTTCCAAGAAGTCATAATTATATTACAATTGATTATTTGTTTGAATTGTTAGAGATGACTACGGGACAAAACTGTAGATATTTTTTTAGTGTTGGGATAGGATTAAAAATAATTATATTTACGTTTTGATTAATTAATTTTTAATATTAAAAAAGAAAAATAAAGAACACAAGTAGGACAATACATTTCGGGATTTTTGCCATCCTTAAATTTCATTGGTGATTATTACGAAAAATATAATTAAGTACAAATCAAATTCTTTATTAATAATTTTTTATTGAACCTTGATCAGAACAAATTTATTTTATTTTTAATGGTATAATCACCGAATCAATGTGAGCCGCAGATTTGCCTCTACAGAGTTGTCTGCGCGTGGATTCGGAAAATCAACAAATCCTCACCTCCAAAAATATTGAAAAAGAAAAAGAAAAAATAAATAAAAATTAGATACCTTATAAAATAAAAATAAAAATAAAAATCTGCAAGTCTAATTTCCACTAGAATACTCCGATCATTAATTTTTTGGCTAATGTAAATAATCTTCCCAAATTCAAAACACTGCAGCCGTTAGATTTCCATGCAGAGGATACCTAGAAATGCGTTGTACGGCACAGGATTCAACGATTTATGGTTGACATTCATAGGACTCTCTTGTTGTATTATAGTACACTGTCCACCGCATTTTTCTTCTGGGATTTTCGATTTATTTTTTAATAATATTCTACACACGGATATCGATACATTCAATTAGCTCTGTAAAGAGAGAGAAAGGTGAGGAGATCCGAGCGGATGTTTCAAGTGAATATTTGGTGAAAAAGGATAGCTATTGATAAGGATGGAGGTTCCTTTGCCTGTACAGAGACCTCTGAATTGCAGAACCCACTTCAAGATCAAGCCTTTTCTTGGATTAGTCCCTCATGGAACTACTAGCATATTCTCCCGAGTAAATTTAGTTCAATGAAATACGTGTGTGTTTTGTCTTTATTGATTTTGAGATATTATGTGTGGATGACAACAATTTCATTGTGATTTGTATGCATACCTATTTAAATGTTGGGTTAATGTGATGATCTAGAAAACTTGGTTCGAGTAATTCTTCTTTAATTTTTTCCCTATTTGCTTGAATTCTGAATTGTGTTGTCTCAAGAAAGTTTGTGATAAAATTTGTGTGTGGTCTTGGGTTCATCTTATGTTTTGGTTTGGTTTGTGTTTGATAATTTCATTGATAAAGAGTCGATGATGTGAATGAGATTCTTTGAACTAAGGTTGGGCAGCAGAATTTTTCTTATCTTCTTTGAACCTCTGCTTGCAGTCTTCACACAGGCAAAACGATGGTGTGGTTGCTCGGGTTTCTTATAGAATTACTGCAAGTGCGGGTTTGTTACTCTGATTAATTCAGTTATCAATAGTGTTCTGAATAAATTTCTAATTATTTGAATTTTATGTGAGGTAGATTTCTCGAGAAGAAGGCAACGGAAAATTTCCACACCAAGGTCCGAAGACTCTAAACCGAGGGGGTTTATGCCAAGAATGCAGGTCCCTACAGGCATGCAGAAAAAGGATAAAAAGAACAATGAAGAAAAGGTTGCAGGTCTGCATAGTGGTAGGTTAGACTTTGGGGGGTCCAATAGGAAAATAGCAGCTGAATTGAAAATTACAACCAATGACGAAGAGTTTGTCAACATTAATCAAGGGAAGGAAGCAGGTGAAGAAAGTGAAGATGCAATTAATGGTGGTTTGAAGGAGGTTCCTTTATCTACGGAACCATCACTTGATGCTAAAATAAGTCAATTTGCTGAAAGCGGAGAAATTGACACCATTTATGAGGATGTGATGGAATCAACAGAATCAGAAAGAATTTCAGAGAGGGTGGTCGAGGAAAAAGCAACAGCAAATGATTATAGTGATGTTGTAGAAGATGGCGGTTTGAAGGAGGTTCCTTTATCTACGGAACCATCACTTGATGCTAAAATAAGTCAATTTGCTGAAAGTGGAGAAATTGACACCATTTATGAGGATGTGATGGAATCAACAGAATCAGAAAGAATTTCAGAGAGGGTAGTCGAGAAAAAAGCAACAGCAAATGATTATAGTGATGTTGTAGAAGGTGGTGGTTTGAAGGAGGTTCCTTTATTTACGGAACCATCACTTGATGCTAAAATAAGTCAATTTGCTGAAAGTGGAGAAATTGACACCATTTATGAGGATGTGATGGAATCGACAGAATCAGAAAGAATTTCAGAGAGGGTGGTAGAGGAAAAAGCAACAGCAAATGATTATAGTGATGTTGTAGAAGATGGTACAGTTATTGAACAAAAGCAGATTCATATTATTAAAGATAACAAAGTCCAAACCATAGAGAAAGAGGAGTATAAAGAAGCAACAACTATATCTGATTCTGGAAAAAAAGCAGCAGAAAAAATAGATTTAGGAACAAAGGAAATAAGTACGGTTAAGAACAATGATGGAGAGAGAGTTGAAAGAATCAAAACTATCGATGAGGTTAGTGAAAATCATGTTCCAAAACCCGAGTCAATAGAGGAAGGACTAATTTTGGTCGAAGAGGAGAAAAAGGATGAAGATTATTCTTCAAAACTAAAGTTGGAGGAGGATGCAAATATGCGTAAAGAGGTTTTAGCTAGGCTTGCCGAGGAAAACTTCAGGAAAGGAAATAAGTTGTTCTATTATCCTGAGGTAGTAAAACCCAATCAATATGTAGATGTATTTCTCAACAGAAGTTTCTCCACTTTGAAAAATGAACCTGATGTCTTGATAATGGGAGCCTTCAACGACTGGAAATGGAAATCATTTACCATGAAGTTGAGCAAGAGCCATCTTAATGGGGATTGGTGGTCTTGCCACGTCCATGTTCCTAAGGAAGCATACAAGATAAATTTCGTGTTTTTTAATGGGCAAGATGTCTATGAGAACAATGAGACAAAAGATTTCTTCATAAATGTGGAAGGTGGTATGGATGTGTTCGATTTTGAAAATTTATTGCTTGAAGAGAAACGCAGAGAACAGGAGGAACTTGCTCAAAAACAAGCTGAAATGGAAAGACGACGGGAAGAACAAAGACGAATAGAAGCAGAAAAGGCGAACCAAGAAGCAGATAGAGCTCAGGCAAAAGAGGAAGTTGCAAAGAGAAGGAGAATGCTGGAAGAGTTGGTAAAAAAGGCCAAGAAATCTGTGGATAATGTTTGGTACATAGAGCCTGGAGAATTTAATGGCGAGGACGAGGTCAAGTTATACTTCAACAGGATCTCAGGACCACTTGCGCATGCTAATAATGTTTGGATTCATGGAGGGCATAATAATTGGAAGGATGGATTATCCATCGTTTCAAAACTCATCAGATCAGAGAGAAAAGATGGTGACTGGTGGTTTGCCAATGGTGAGTGGGATTATAAATTTTCTCTTCTATGCATTGTTCCATATTGATAGTGGTGCAAACGGTCTCAAAGAAGCGAAGTAGGATTTGAGTTTATATTGATGCCTGAAAATTTTGTGCTTAGACAAAGCTTCCACTCCTCTGTATTGATCAATTCTTAACTGCTAGGAAGAAAAATTCATTCAATTGGAGCTGTTCCTGATGCTAATTATCATCATGGTTAGCTTCGTGTTGTTGAGGTTATGACTGATCATCATAGGCGTTGATTGACTTTTTTCCACTTATAGAATTTTTAGTGCATATCTATTAGCAAGCTACGCAATACCGCTTTATTTTTTCAATGCTATAACTGCTTCATCTCCCTAGAAATGGAAAGTCCCTTTGAGCTTGAAAGTGCCACTATGAGGGGTAAAACCAATGCCTTGTACAAATGGGATATAATGTGGGGATTGAATGCAACTGTCTAGAAAGCAAATATTCATTCTGGGTTTTCTCATGAGCCAGACAAGTTATTTTTTCAGGAAATTGGAGATTTCAACGTGATAGCTTAAGTTTCTTCATTGAATTTCATTTACAAAATTTAAAGGAAAAAATTCTAGGTAAATATTACTGCATCAAATTCTAACTGTTTGGCTAAATTGAACTGGCATGTAAAAGTAATGGTCTTGCTACATATTTTCTATTCATATCCATTGAATTGCAATGGGGCTTTATTTATTTCCTTCTTTTTTTTACCCCATCTCTTGCAAAGTGCCTATAAACATCCATCTGAGCAACTCATTTGGTTTCTCCAGTTGTTGTACCAGACGGAGCTCTTGTTTTGGACTGGGTTTTTGCTGACGGTCCACCTCAACAGGCTATTGTTTATGACAACAATCATCTCCAAGATTTCCACGCCATTGTCCCAAAATCTATTCCGACGGAATTGTATTGGGTTGAGGAAGAACAAAAGATATACAGAAAACTTCAGGTGGAGAGGCGTTTGAGAGAGGAAGCAGCACAAGCAAAGGTTATTTGTTCTGATATCAAACCCTAATCTAAATGAAATCACTTTAGGGATCCTAAATTTGTGGGGTTATTGTTGTCTCAAACTCCTGCATGTGATGCTCTTGACATCCCTGGTTTATGTGCCTTTATCCTCTTTTTCTTTTGATATTCCATTTACAGGCTGAGAAAATAGCATGTATGAAAAGGGAAACAAAGGAAAGGACTTTGAGGACATTTTTGTTGTCTCAAAAGCATATAGTCTATACTGATCCCCTTGATGTCCAAGCTGGAAAGACTGTCGCAGTTTTCTATAATCCCGCTAACACTATCCTAAATGGAAAACCTGAAATCTGGTTGAGATGTTCGTTCAATCGGTGGACACACCGCATGGGTCCTTTGCCGCCTCAGAAGATGTTGCCTGCCGAAAATGGCTCTCATCTTAAAGCAACGGGTAAAACACAATTGTTTAATAACGTGCCAAATAATTTGAGCTAACATGGTTGTAATGGGACATCCATTTTCCATGCTTAACTAGCAGTGGATGTGAATATTCCAAGAAACAAGAGAACTGTGAGGTCAATGTTTCACTGGATTTACCTGTTTTTATTTTTCTTTTGTTATATGTACTCATCCAACATCATTTTCTATTTTGAATATACTTACCTTGCATCTAGTAGCTATCTGAATAAAGTTTTTCTGCCTAGCATTCTCATAAAGGATCGATATGTTCTGCTGTAAAAAAAGAAAAAAAAAGATTGGAAATACATTGCTCCTCTTAAAATCTGACAGAGTAGTGCTTCATGTGTTCAGTTGTTTTTGGTGGCCTGCACACATAACATGACATGTTAATAACTCCTTGATGAGGTGTATCATTAGGAGTCTTGTGGGTTATATTGTTGATATACTAAAAATCATATTAACATTTGCTGTTTAACTGAGATACTCTGTTTTTGCACATTTATCTTACTTCCTTACGTTTTCAGTCAAGGTTCCGTTGGATGCATATGTGATGGACTTTGTGTTCTCTGAGAAAGAGGGTGGTGGAATTTTTGACAATAAAAATGCGATGGATTACCATGTACCTGTCTTTGGAGGAGTAGTGAAGGAGCCCCCTATGCACATTGTACATATTTCAGTTGAAATGGCGCCTATTGCGAAGGTAATATATGGCAGTTCGATAGGCATTCCATAGCTCATTTGTACTATAACCTCTGTTCTAAATTTCTTACGTGCTGAAGTGTGCAAATATGAGAGAGTAATAATGGATGTAGTGCACCCAGTTCAATGATTGAAGACTGACATCCTGAAAATATACTAGACAGCGATTCTATCAATACTTTAACCCTCTGATTCTTATTTGGTGCAAATAACCTGAGAACAATGGTAAGATTATATCTAATGCAGGGGTGACTCCTCATCTACAGTACTCACCCCATCCCATTGTTTTTGCCACACTTTCCATTCTAGGATATCTCACTCTGGGATGTCCAATAATTTTTTGATTTCCAAATATCAAACCAAAGATATCATTTTCTCATTACACCCACTCAAATGGACAATTTGAAATGAAAGCAATCATTAGTTTGTCACGTGATCTGAATTTTGAGTTCAACATATCAGTGATAAGGGAAAGTACAATACAAATGTCATTGCCACAATACTGTACAAAATAAGTAGATTTTTTATTGGGGGTTAGATTTTACTTTTCACTTGTATGCATGTAGGAAGGAATCCATGTGTTAACTGGGATTAAATTAGCAAGTATGCTGAGTTAGAGTTTCTGAGTACCGTATACTGCCTGTGCCTGATCTATGATTTCCCCTCTTGGCAAAAATGGAAAGTCCCACAACCCCAACTTCATAAGTAGTAAGTCTAATTTGCATGAGATATGGTAAGAGGCTGACAATGTATCTAGTTCTACACAATTTTTGTACTATCTTGTCTACTAATATAATATTTTTGAATATAAACTATAAGTCACGTATTATTGGGTATATTATTACTACTGATGTCATGATTATAACAGATATTGTTATGATCTCTTGCAGGTGGGGGGTCTTGGTGATGTTGTCACTAGTCTTTCACGTGCTGTTCAGGATATGAACCATCATGTGGACATCATTCTTCCAAAATATGATTGTTTGAAGCTTAACAATGTAAGATTCAGTATGTTTCCTTTAGCTAAGTTCTCTTCCTAACTTCTTTCTTGATTCTCTCTCCTTTCTTCTTTCTTTCTGAATTTGGTATCATAATTAGGTTTTAGTTTTATATGGAAGATTCTCCATATAAATACTTATTTTAGGAAACAATTAGGGTTTACTTTAAGGGTCCGTTTGATCGCAAATGTGGAATTTGGGAGGAAAGAAAATGAATTACAGGGAATTGAATTGTCTAGAATTTGTTTTACTGGAAATTGTAATTAATTGTGTTTGATTTGTATAATTTTTCACCTGGAAAATATTGAAAATGTGGTGTCCGCTTAGCTTTGTTTTTCATGGAAATTGTCCATTAAAGTGGTAACTTTTTTTACCGTTGGGTCTAGAATTTTTTTTCAATTGCCAAAAAAAAAAGGCTGGAAAATCAATTACCACAAAAACTAAAAGAAAATGAATTCCTTGAGAACCAAGAAAACAGGCGCGTGATAGTAGGAGGTGGAAAACGAATTCCGGGGAAATTTTTTCCTATCAAACACTACAAAAGTTGGAAAATGGATAAAATTTTCCATTTTCCATGGAAAATGTTGTATATCAAACGGGGCCTAATAGATTTTCTAGTTGTTTTCCTACTTTTAAGTTAGGTTCTTGAAACCTTATATAAAGAGGTCTTTGCATTGTATTACTTAGACTTGATTATTGAATAAATTGATATTTTCTCCGTCTAAATTCTTTCTTGATTCTCTCACCATTATCTCTCTCTCTCTCTCCCTTTCTTCTCAAGTCTCATTCTTGTTTGTTGCTTTCTACTCACGTACTGAAATATTATTTCTACAACTGCATCATATATTCCTTGTTAAATATTGATCAAGTATATTGTGACTTTCACCCATGGTAATGATACATGTTATGGAGCAGGTGGAGGACTTCCAGTTTCACAAAAGCTATTCTTGGGGTGGGACTGAAATAAAAGTTTGGTTTGGGAAAGTTGAAGGCCTTCCTGTATACTTTCTGGAGCCTCAAAATGGGTAATTACAAGTGCTACCGGCTCGTCTGTGGCTTGTAGTTTGTACCTTTTTGTTTGAGCTTGTTCTTATGTTCATAGTTCAAGATACCTGTCCTGCCTCTGCTTGTTTATCATATTAATTATCTCTTCGGTGGCATGCTATTTATAGTATGTTTTGGTAGTGATTTTCAGTATTATGAGCTATGGGTTCTACGGAACATGTGGATAATAAATGAGAAGTAAGTTATGGATCGTATGAAATGTGCGGATAAAGAGTATTTTAACCAGCTGAAATTATAATTTAAGCTTTGCCAAAAATGCATTTCATTTTTCTTTGGTGCTGGGGAGATGGTGATTTGTTTACTGTAGTTATGCTGCTGATTATTGAGTTGACTAGGCAATTCTTACTGCAACTGCACACATAGTTGTATTCATCTTATTTGAAAATCTACTTATTATAATAGATCTTGGTGAATTATATTTAATCCATAAACTCTTGCTTAGAACTTGTTCTTAAGCTGAATAAGATTTAAATCTGCAAAATATGAAGTGTTACTAGTGTATGGTACTGAACGAACTTGTTTATTGTTCTCGTGCTCTTGAGTTAATCTGTGTATTTGTCTATTCCAGATTCTTTTATGCGGGTTGCATATATGGTCGCAGTAATGATGGGGAAAGATTTGGTTTCTTTTGCCATGCATCTCTCGAGTTTCTTCTGCAAAGTGGATTCCATCCAGTAAGCTCCAATCCACATCAAGGATAAAGTTGGATATTTTCAATCTATTTGATTCATTTCTATTGCAACATAAGAGATCTGAACTCTTGATAAGAATGTTTTTCTAGTGGCATTACTAGGAGAGCTAGTATCCCAACAAGAAAATCGTTGATTATTTGAGTTTCTGATTGTTTTCAAATTTTCTTCTCTGTTACTGTTAGGCTGTATTTTCCTGCTTAATATTGCTATGTCTATGGCGTCTAGCTAATTTTGTGGGACATACTCTTTCAAGCAAATGTTATCAGACCCTTTATCCTATTCCACCCTTAAATAAATAAATGCAAATACTGCAGATTTTTCACTTACACCTCTGTTTACCAATTGAATTTATAATACTTCAGAACTTTTCAACTTACTTTTTCCTTTTTGTGTACCAGGATATAATTCATTGCCATGATTGGTCTAGTGCTCCAGTTGCATGGTTGTATAAGAATCATTATAGACATTATGGCCTCAATAAAGCACGAGTTGTCTTCACTATTCACAATCTTGAATTTGGAACCAACTTGATTGCGAAAGCTATGGAGTATTCGGATAAGGCTACGACTGTAAGTGTTTAAAGGACTCCCCACTAAACTCCTCTCTCTGTTGACCTTGTTTATTGGTTGCATTAGTTGAGCTAGATTTCTCTGTTAGGTGACTGAGCATTTCTTATGATGTTGAAGCAGAGATTTGATTTCTTGCATCTAAAACTGCACATTTGAGCATGCAGGTATCCCCCACTTATTCGCAGGAGGTTTCTGGAAATCCTGTTATTGCTCCTTACCTTTACAAATTTCATGGTATTCTAAATGGAATTGACCAAGACATATGGGACCCATACAATGATAAGTTCATTCCTGTAAGTAAATTGCAGTTTCTTGCAACTTATCTGTATTCATCATTCCATTTTTGGCCATGAGAGAATGGCATCACTTTGAAAAATTTAGGTTTCTTTCTAAATTATGTATGATGTTTGGATGTCTAAAGTGGGGAGAACAGTGTTTCAGCTTCTATTCTCTTATATCGAGTGGCTTGTTGACATAATAATATAATGGCATGTTTGATGGGGGAGGATTAAATAGTACCATTGTTCTAAAAAATTCGCCTAGGCTAAACGCCTCGCTTCGAGCCTAGATGCTTTTTTTTTTAATTCCTAATCGACTGAATTTTTTCCTTCCTCTCTTTCGTCTTCCCTAGGCATGTTTTATTAGTTTTTTGTCTTTTTTCCTTTGTTTTAAAAGTCTTTTATTTGACTTTAGCTTATTAAAATTTTTTATTTAAAAAAAGAAACTTTTCACTTGACTTTACTTTCAAGTTTTTAAAAGATTTTATCTGTACAAAACTTTATCTAAATATTTAAATAAGATTTAAACTACGGTGTTATTTACATTATATAATTATGATTTTGAGACTCGTTATTTTGTCGCAAACTCAAAAAGCGTGTGTAAAGTTTCTATAAATCTTCGAAGTAAGATTTGTTTAGTTGAAAATTGAAATTAAGAAAAATAATTTTTGCATTTCGACAACTTGAAAATTGTATAATTGACTAATGTTAGGACTTAATTAATTAAATATAGTATTTTATAATCTTAGATGTTTGATATGTAGTATTTTAATTATTAAATAATTTTTAAAATGATTGAAAATTTAAAATATTAAAAATAAGAAAACGTTTTTTACGCCAAAACCTTTCCTAGGCTAAAGTTTTAACCTTCGTCTTCACACCTAACCACGTTTTACACTTTTTAAAACACTGGATATTCGGTTAAAATACTGTTTATTATTCTTTCCAGCCTATTCAATAATATTTGTCAAATGTGCACTAAGTTTATTCTTGCATTATTTAACATATATGTGCACTCCGCTGTTTCTTTTCTCATTTCTTTCTTTTCAATCTGAGGGCTTGAGGATTGAATTTCTGAAATTAATTTTCCTTATCCAACTCAAATCTGTTTCATCATTACAGTTGTCTTACACTTCAGAAAATGTTGTTGAAGGCAAAAAAGCTGCAAAGGAAGCTTTGCAGCAAAGACTTGGGTTGAAAAAGGCAGATCTTCCTTTGGTAGGAATTATCACCCGCTTAACTCACCAGAAGGGAATACACCTTATTAAACATGCTATCTGGCGCACCCTAGAACGCAATGGACAGGTATTCTTTATTTTCTCTACTTCTCTTCCTTGTGTGAACGAATGACAGTCGTGTTCAAATTAATTTCCTCTCTTCCTGCCCATGATGGGTGATTGGTGCATGTGAATGAACTCCTGGAGGGTTAAAAACACTGTTGGTTTCGTGTTAGTGACCGAACTTTATTATGTTCCGAAGTGATCACTGAAATTTGCTTTATGTTTTACGCTCTGTTTGGATACAAATATATAAATGGTTTATAAATCTACTCAAAGCCAGTATTAATTTCAATCACACATTCATAACTACTACTTGTTATTGTCCAAACATTTCGCGGGATACACTATTATTACTCTTTATAAACCATTTATAAGCTTAGTCTGATCACTGGGTTAAAATCCGTTAGGTCTTCTAATGGAATGTCTGATATGGAAGACATCCTTGTTGGTACCACATCAGATTTACATCTTTTGGGACAGACATTCTGTTAGAAAAATTAAAGGATTTTAAATTGCATACCAAACTGAAACAAAATGCCAAAATCAAGTGACCATTACACAGCTCCAGTTCATTTTTTTTCAGAAGCAAATGATAAATTAACATTCTGTTGGTTATTCTGATAGGGGGTTCTTTGTTAGTTTGTCTTGTTAGGTTCAGCTCCTGACCCTCGGATTCAGAATGATTTTGTTAATTTGGCAAATCAATTGCATTCTTCGCATAATGATCGTGCACGCCTGTGTCTGACCTATGACGAGCCCCTTTCTCACTTGGTAGAATCCCCGAACTTGCTCATTTTATTTTGACACATTTACTTAAATTTCATTTGCAGTAGCACACCTTAACTTTTGATCTTTTAAATTTTATGCAGATATATGCTGGTGCCGATTTCATTTTAGTCCCTTCTATATTTGAACCATGTGGACTAACTCAACTCATAGCAATGAGATACGGTTCAATAGCTGTCGTTCGTAAAACTGGAGGTGGGTAGTTTTGTTATAGTTTCTAGTGCAATGTAATCCAATAGTTTGTGTTTGGTATACAATATTAGACCATATTGGACATTCTCAATGAACAAGATTTCAACTTCTTTTTCTTTCATAATACTCTCGAATATTGTTTAATCCATCTTATCAAACATACAAGTAATGTTATTAATGAATATTGGTATTGCTGTGGAAACTGTTTATAAATTGGATGGTATCATGTGCCTCGTATAGGTACTAGCAAAACTGTAGTAATAATGCTGCCCTCTTTTTGTGTCTGCTTCAGAATTTTTCACTCAACTACCAATTGGTTGCGAACATAATTAGAAAAGAGAGTAAATAATTGTTTATAAAATTTGTCTTGCAGGACTTTACGATACAGTTTTTGATGTTGACCATGATAAAGAACGAGCACAAGCTCGTGGTCTTGAACCAAATGGGTTCAATTTTGACGGAGCAGATGCTGCTGGCATTGATTATGCTCTCAATAGGTGAGTCGAATTTCTGTCTCCTCTTTTGAGTACTTGCCATAAAGGTGCGCACCTGGCTTTCATTTCAGATTTCTTCTTTTGTACTTTTCCAGAGAGTATTTCATAAAAAAAATTATTTTTTCTTTTACTGTGGTTAATTTTGAGGAAAAATACAGGAGACTGAAAAATTGCGCGACTTGTAAATGCAAAATGCTATAAAAGAAAAATTCTCAAACCACAGACACAAATAGGCTTCTTCTTTCTTTCTTTTATTTTTTTTTATTTTTTTTAATTTCTATTATTATTATTATTATTATCATTTTGCATATTACTGGCTGTGACTCTGTTCTACTTGATACTTTTAGAGCAATCACTGCTTGGTACGATGGACGGGAATGGTTCAATTCATTGTGTAAGTGCGTTATGGAGCAAGATTGGTCGTGGAACCGACCTGCACTTGATTATTTGGAGCTTTACCATGCTGCTCGAAAGTGAAAAGATGAAATCAAGACAGGGTTTGTACATTAGTTTCTTATCTGGTATCATTTTCTTGCAGATTCAGTATAGTAGCTGCATATAGTTCAATTTCAAATCAATAAAGCACAGCACCTTATGGCTGGTTGTAAATTTGCTTGTGGATCAACCATTTCTTGATTATTTATTATTCCAATTTCTATTATCCTTTCCAATAGGAGAGAATCAGAAACTAATGGTGGACTATGGTCGATGATCTTGGCATAAGATTCGAATTCTATATTTACGAACCAAATAGTACACACAGATGAACTGTATTTTTTTCATAAAATAGGGGGGAAAATGATAAGTGAAATTTATTCAATATATTTTGGTCATTTTACCATTTCAAGCTGCACTAATTTTTCCGCAAATTTTAAATGCTTTCTTTCACTTTCTGTGCCCAAAGATAATGTATTGAATGCTTTTCTTTAATATTTAATGCTATCTTACTTCTGTTATCATGAATAGGCAGAATAGCATTACCCAAAAATAAGCTTTTTCTTTACTACATGTCGTTTTGAAATTATCGAGTTAATGAAATTTAGTGTCACCTATAGTTTATGTGAAATTATGTAATTTATTTAATTATATATTTTATTTAATGAGATATTGTAACATCAGTGATGTTAAATAGTATTATTTTTTTGATAATCATAAATGCATATGGATTGCACTTTTTGCTATGTTTCGTACCACATGTTGTTGGAAAAGCGTATTTTAAAATTATTTTATACGTATTAAACTTTAATTATCCAAGCTTTATACACACAACATTTTGCACCAAAAGATATTGTTAATAATTAGTAGGAAAAAGAAATTAAAAAATTATTTTATTTAATATTATTACGTATCAAACGTACACAGATGTTTTGGCTTACATACACGAACGTAGTGCTAGTACGTGCAGGAAAATGAAAGGTTGACATGAACCTCCACAGTCCACTCTTACGTCCCTATCCGTCTAAAGCCACTTCTGATTTGAGTTAAGACCTACGTTTAAATGAAACCACTCGCCCCCCCGCCACACACACACACACACACACACACACACATAACTGAGTGATCCTGGTCCCCAAGTCAAAAGTTATGGACCAAGTGCGTATGTCTAATGAGCCCTCGAGGCCAAAATTATGGACCCACATTCATATACATAGCCCATGTTTAGTGGAATTAAAATTAGATTTTTTACTAAAATTTGATAGAAGTTAATGAAATGCGTGGTTGAAAAGTTGTGAAATCCATAAAATATTTGATTGAAATGAATTGTTAATTTTGACTTAAATTAAAATCTAGATTTTAATCAGTATCACACATGAGCTTAATTTTCTCTTGGATAGACCGGAAGAGAAAAGTAAATGCCAAGTCGTCAATCCCTGAATTATTTAATCTGTCGCATTACAATTTATATTTTAGTTTTACCACAAGGTTTTTTAGTTTACCATTGCGCAGTCTCTGTTAAGACATATACTTGTGTTCAATAATATAGAAATAGAGGTACATAATGATCTCCTTCGTTACGAAAGAAGTGTGTTACAATGAAAAGTGAATACATCTCTCAAATTAAAGGTGAATCACTATGAGTAAGAAAACTAGATAATGCTATTTATCACCCATTTTAGGTGGGAGTGGAACCCTTTATTTTACTATCAAATAAAGGTTCCCTACGGAGAATAAGTTAGGAGATTCGATGTCGCCTAAACAAATAATGAACACAACTAAAATGATATTATTACTCTAATTGGAGTCTTTAGAAAAGTAAGGCTATATAGCATCAATGTTATTTATTGGAGAATGAGTGGGATGTTCATTATCACTTAAATTGATGATGAAAGTATATTTGTTTTGGTAGTAATAATTAACCTGGAAATAAGATTAGAACTGAATTCTGGCTATCATAAGTTGGTTTTTTCTCTCTCTTGTTTATAGTACTGCTGGTTGCACAGTTATCCGGGCAATAATCCCATGAGCCAGGAGGGAGGGTGGCATTGAACAATGAAAAGTTGTAAAAGATAGAAGTTGAGTCACAGTTAAATCAAAATCAAAACAATACACACCACAAATCTCAATGTGCAATCAACCAACCAAGTACATTTACTCCATTAGCACCCTCTCCTAGGCATCTTAATAAAGTCTGCCCTTTCTTTTCTCTGCTATAATGCAAAGCTTAGTTGTCTTCATAAATCGGATAAAGCCTACAGAAATCACTGACCAATCCTTTTCTTCCACTTTTCCCTATCAAAATACAGACTTCTTAACACTTCTCATGAATTTAATTCCTATATTTACACACCGTTTCTTTAATGTAAAACCATACTTAACTTCTCACTGTAGTGGGTAAATATTGAAATCTTGACACTTTTTTTTTGTGTTCTTAAGTTCTTTTAAGAGCCTATTCCCAAGTAAAGTGCACCTTTCAAACTTCTTTTTTTTTTGTCCATCCCCATGCACAAATTTCTGAGGGTGTTTTGGACTTTTTATACACTAAAAAACTCACCTTTGAGTCTAAATTCTAACCATATTTTCAGATAAGAGTATATAATAAACTGAGATTTTCATGTGAAGGCCATTATTTTGGTTTTAACTTTTTGTTTCAGTTTCCTGTATAGATGGCCAATAGATGCATATCTCTGTGGCGTTTTTGTCTTTTTCTCTCGTTTTTAGGACCCTTGATAACTGTGACTTTCTTTGGAAGTTTGCAAGCCACAGAAAGGTAGTTTCTGCTATTTCACATAAATTTTGCTACCTTTTTTTGTTGGTTTGGTTTACTATTCACTGTATTCAGAGAGCTAATTCGAGAAAACTGTGAAAAGTTTGCTTCTTTTTGGAGGGTTTTGAAATAAAGACAAGGTAGATTCCTGATATTATTCTCTTACACACTTCTTTTTCACTTATTAATTCTATTGAAAAGTTTAACATTTTAGCCGCACAAACAGACAACCTCGTTTTACTTTCGATCTTATCTATATAGAGTACTGTGAGAACAGTTTTGTGGCATTTCTGGGTTTTTGCATTTGCAAGCCATGGCAGGTTTGCGAAGGAGAGGCAAAGCATTGGAAGAAGAAGATTTTGAAGAATCAGAGGTGTGGGCTTCACTCAAGGAGTTCTCTTCAAAGGGGAAAAAAGCCAAAGAACATTCATCCAGTTCATCGTCCACGTCTGCATGGAGTTTATCTTCTGCACCAAGAGTGATCCCAAAAGCACAAGAGGTTACCTGTGGCACCGGCTGGCAGTCATCGGCTCCGGTGGACATTCCCGACTGGTCCAAGATTTTAAAGAGGGACTCATCAAAAAAGGATTTATGGGATGATGAATGTGATTCTGATGATCGTACCAAGAAAAGATTCTATGATGATTTTGAGACTGAAGACGGTGAAGAAATGGTTCCGCCGCATGAATATTTAGCCAAGAAGCTTGCCGGAACTCAGATTGCTTCATTTTCTATGTTGGAAGGTGTTGGAAGGACCCTCAAAGGAAGAGATCTCAGCAAACTAAGGAATGCCATTTTAACCAAAACTGGTTTTCTTGAATGACACCGCCACCACCATATCCACCAACCACCACCGTCTACGGCGGCATAGCACTATAATCTCCATGTCACCATCCTGGCTATTTCTTTTTTACTCTTTTTTTCCTGGGTACTAGGGTTGCTGAATATTTACTGTTTTTTACATTTATGCATGATATTAGTTGTCAGAGCTGGCATTTTTGGGAGCTTTTATTATTTTAAATAGGATTAAACAAATGATCAGTTGCAGGCTCTGAGAATTTTGTATGGAAGATTTGCGTTTCGGCCAGATAGACTATTTGGATCTGGATCCGGGTACATGAATGGAAAGGAGTTCAATTTATGCTATTTTATGTTCTATTATTTATATTTGCTGTTATTCTTCTAATTAAGACCATGTTTGACAGTCTTTTCAAGATTATAAGTTGATCAAATTCCATTTTTAATTTCACATTTTAAATACACATGGATTCATGAATAAACTAATAAAAAAAATGCAAATTATTACTATATCAATACAAAATTATTTTTTCAAATTAAATTATATGTTGAAGATCCACTCACCACCTACATTGAATGGATTATAATTAATTAAAGAAAGAAAGCAACTTTATTGTTAAAGTAGGCCACCTTACTCTCTATTTTCCTAAATATAATTGAACACTCAATAGAATTAGAAAGATTCTACATTTCACTAATTTAATTTGGGTGTGTTATTTTGAGTCAAGTTGGCAATAATAAATTATAGTTTTTTTCCCCTAAACATGTTTGGAAATTTTTATTTAATTTTCACTTTAAAAAGTTATAATTTTGAAAGTAACTCTTAGTCAATTTTTTCATAAAATTATTTCGTTTAGAATTGACTTTATTCATTTACTCTCGAGGAGTAACTTGTAATGATAACCAATTGAAAGCATCCTACTAACTTGTAGGTACATTCTAGCCAAATTTTTAAATGCTTCATTAAATTTATGGTTTTAAGGAAGATAAGCATCAGTGAATATTCTTGTACTAAACAATTTTTTTTTTTTAAATTTGTAATTATTGTGGTTTTCCTTATGTATGTTGCCCTTTTAAGTTTTAATCAGACCAAAGTGACAAACCATGGCTACTCTTTATGGAAAATGATTGTGTTGTCACTTCTAATCATACTAGTGATATGATGATCAATGTCAACTTGTCCATGCACAGGGACGTAGTCAAAAAAATAATTAGTTTGTCGATACAAAAACATGGCAATAATAAATTATAGTTTTTTTTCCCTAAACATGTTTGGAAATTTTTATTTAATTTTCACTTAAAAAAGTTATAATTTTGAAAGTAACTCTTAGTCAATTTTTTCATAAAATTATTTCGTTTAGAATTGACTTTATTCATATTGTTGAGAAAAGTAGATGCATTTACTCTCGAGGAGTAACTTGTAACGATAACCAATTGAAAGCATCCTACTAACTTGTACGTACACTCTAGCCAAATTTTTAAATGCTTCATTAAATTTATGGTTTTAAGGAAGATAAGCATCAGTGAATATTCTTGTACTAAACAATTTTTTATTTTTATTTTTTTTTATTTGTAATTATTGTGGTTTTCCTTATGTATGTTGCCCTTTTAATCAGACCAAAGTGACAAACCATGGCTACTCTTTGTGGAAAATGATTGTGTTGTCACTTCTAATCATACTAGTGATATGATGATCAATGTCAACTTGTCCATGCACAGGGACGTAGTCAAAAAATTAATCAGTTTGTCGATACAAAAATAATATGTCCATTTATGTGTCTAACGCTATACAAATTGAAAATATGAACGTTAGATGGATATTAAAGAATAGTGGACCAGCGGATAATGTTGGGGGTGATCCCGCCCCCCTATCCCCTGTCTCTGTCCATGCGGTAAGATTACTGTTTATTACATCACTGGTATTATGCTATGTATTGGTTTGATGGGATTTAGAAAACAAAGTCATTGATAACTTTCCAAGGTTGGGTAAAAGCCGAGATTTAGGAAGAAACGTTAAAACTGATTATGTCGTTTCAAGAACAAAGTTAGAACAGATAACTCGTAGATATGAAGTCCCAAAATCTCGTTACACATCATTATTTTCAATGAATCCCAGGCATCTACATGTCATCTAACTTGTGAAAATTATAAATAATCGGAAAATCCAAGGCGTTCCAAGTACAAAATAGGGTAAAATATTGAAGAAACAAGATAAGGTTATCCATCCAACATATATATATATATATATATATTCAAATGTTAATCAATCTGGGACTCAACGTCGAGTATTAAGATAATCAAAATATCTTATTCATGAACCAATTATCAAACTAATCCCACTTTTGCATGTATTTTCTAGAATATAATAGCTGGATTAGGACAAAATAATTGAAATTTTTCACTTAATCGTCGACTGTCCCAGGAGGTACACGTTGGAGATGTAGGGACAACTGACGAGTTAACTTCAAAAGTGGTAAAAATAAAAAACCATGAGGAGTAAATTGTACCGACATCTAATTGTTAAAATAATGTAGTTTACGAGTTCAACAATTTATTAATTAAACTACGTACTTCCAAAAAAAATAAAAAAAAAATCTAATAATCTAATTTCGTAACATAGTCCGTTAAAACAACACATTCCGTTAGTTTTTCCGTTAAAAACAAGAAATTCCGTTACATAGCCACTTTTAATATATAAAAGATATATATTAAAATGTTAATCAATCTGGGACTCAACGTCGAGTATTAAGATAATCAAAATATCTTATTCACGAACCAATTATCAAACTAATCCCACTTTTGCATGTATTTTCTAGAATATAATAGCTGGATTAGGACAAAATAATTGAAAATTTTCACTTAATCGTCGACTGTCCCAGGAGGTACACGTTGGAGATGTAGAGACAACTAACAAGTTAACTTCAAAAGTGGTAAAAATAAAAAACCATGAGGAGTAAATTGTACAGACATCTAATTGTTAAAATAATGTAGTTTACGAGTTCAACAGTTTATTAATTAACCTACGTGCTTTCAAATAAAAAAAAAAAAATCTAATAATCTAATTTACGAGTTAAATTGTTTGCAGTTCTATTTTTATACCATTGTTCGTCTCCCAAACATTCTATTGTAGGTGATTGTGGACTACGGTGACAATTTAAGTTCAAACACCCTATCAAATGGACATGTTCAACTCATGTGAATGGAAGAGTACGTTGATTACTAACTTATATCATCACCCATAAGATGAACTTCGATGTAGTTTATTAGTATGAACTTCGATGTAGTTTATTAGTATGTCCAAATAGACATCGTGAAATGAGTATGTCTTAACAAACTTTATTGTAGACTTTAAAAATAATCATAGATTCATTGGAACTGAAAATATAAAAAGAATTAATAAAGAAAATAAAAAATGCTACTTGTGCACACTTGGTACACAACCCTCTCACATGTGTGCGGAATTCACAATGTGGACCCGATTGTGGACCCCACACACATGTGAGAAGGTTGTGTACCAAGGTGTGTAAGTGTAACAAGGTTCAAAGAAAATCAACCACCACGTAGAATCAAAACAGATTATTATCAATGAATAAAACACTACAACTTCTAGAAATTTCAAAAATACCCATAAAAGGAGTATCAAAGATTCAAAACAACAAATATAGATTGCATTAACACATAATATCAAAAATGACAGAAAAAAAAAAGGAATAATACACAAAAAGCGCGTAGAAATTTCAAGAAAAGTTGAGAAATGTACCTGAGTGAGTGAAAATTTATGAAATCTTGGGTTTAACGAATATATTTCCAAAAGAAGATTCAGAAAAATGCAAGAGAAACAGAAAATTATGGAAAAGAAATATTCCTTTCCACTTCAAAGAAAAGAAAAGTATAAATCATGCTACATGTACATCACATGCTAAGATTTTGACAACACACGGCTGTCAACCATTGTTGTCATCCAATGTATATGTAAACTCGTTTTGGCGGTTTGAAGCCGTTTTATACATTCATTTGATAGAAGCTACGGCTACCTGATGAAACGTCACTGTTATTGGGCTAGTTATATAAATAGGCCTGACCTAAGCTAAAAAAAACTGCGGCCCATTATATAGCAGCGAAATACCAGTCCAGATGTTTTATTTAGAAATAATTAAACAAAATTTAAAGTATATCTACAATACATAAAATGCTAATTATATTCACATCACAAATTTTGTTTGTTTTATCTCATTTTATTGCATTTAAAGTCATCAATCTTTTCTTATCGTAATACTTATGTCCCTAAATTTTTTTCGTCGATTTCTTATATTCAACTTTCCATTAGTTATTACTTCTTGTCCTTGATAATAATTTCTATCAAAATATTCTATTTGTGTACTTTTATATACAATTAAAAATTATAACAATACTACATATATAATATTTAACTTGAAATGTATATACAATTTTAAAAAAATAAGAATAACTTTATTTAATTTCCAAATGCGTTAATGATGTTTTAATTCATTTCATATTATAGCTAATAATATTTCTGTCACAAAATCTAAAGTCTTCTACACGTCAAACATTTCTCTTATGAACCTCTAACGGTACTTGTTTTCTCTTTAGAATAAATAGCAATATAAACTCATGCTTTTAAAATGGAAGTTGTGCCATTGAAGACAAATTTTAGCACTTACAAATGCGATTTTACGGACTAAAAGACGCAATTTTTACTAGATGATCATCATCAGTGAACAAATAGAAATGAAACTAAAACGAGTTTCGAAAAAAAAAAAAAAGAGTTAGATGATCAAAATAAAACTTTATTTAAAGTTGGATGACCTTTAGTGTTTTTTTGCAGCTTTGCACCTCTAGTAAATTCCAAAGGGAGTAGGATATTAATAAATAATAAGATTCTAGATTGGGTAATTAGTACATAACATCCCTATCTTTCATTGTTATTGTGGAAAACGTTATTATCTTTTATTTTTTGAAATTTTCACCCTTATTTTTATATTTCATTGTGTAAAATTTCGTTTTCATCTATTTTTTTCAATTAAAAATTGTGAAATGACGAATATAACCTTATCGTTAAATAAAACAAAAAAGAAAAAAGAAAAATTAATTGCAATCATAGTCTCAATTTTTTTAAAAAGCGCAAAAGAGTCCCAAATTATTAAAAGGGTAATTAATAGATAATGTCCCTATCTTTCACCGTTATTGTGAAAAACATCTTTACATTTTTTATTTTACATTTTCACCCCTAATTACACTCTTGATTGTGCAAATCATTCTTTCCATCCATTTTCATTCAATTTCTTAATAAAGAATTGTGAAATAATGAAATAATGAATAAAGAATCTTTTCGACCAATTTCCCATTAATTTGCAGCGTGGGAATCAAGAAATCGTGATTTTTTGGTGGCTATAAATGGGAAAATATCGAAGAAATCTTCACAAACTTGAAAGACGAGCATTTACCACATTTGGTCCAGAATAAGCCCATAGCGAAGCTTCCAGGAATTGCAAGAAAAAGCTTCTCGACCAATTTCCCATTAATTTGCAGCGCGTGGGAATCAATAAATCGTGCTTTTTGGTGGCTATAAATTGGGAAAGAATCGAAGAAATCTTCACAAACTTGAAAGACGAGCATTTACTTATATTTCTTGAACCTCTTCACTCGTCTGGGAACACGTAATAATCATGGCCTTCTTTTCGAATGTTTTTGTTTGCTTTTTGGATTCAAAGCGGGTTGCAGCATGCGAACAAGATGAAGTTAGTAGTAACCAAACCAAAGTGCAAGAGCAGAAAACAAAGAAGAAGGCGAAAAGTGCAGCAATTCCAGTGTCTTACTTCCCTGTCGGAACAAGATTATCTCTGTTATAAGTTTATGAGTTACTTATAATTGATATGCGAAAACAACTTCGATTTGAGTTGGGTTTCTGGCGTTCATTTAAATAATCAAATCTTTGTTATTTCATTCCAATGGAGACTGGAATTTTACTTTCATTTTTTTTATTTCTGAATGATATGATTATATACTTGTGATTGTTTACTGCGCTATTTTTTTGACATTTGATTTCAATTCCAAAGACGATGAAAAGTGGCTATCACTCCTTGAAAGTCCATATAATCAGTTCAACATATAACAGTCGAGGAAATTTTGGCTGAGCTTCTGAAATTTGGAACCCTGTTTTCAAAACAATAACACGGAATCATGTCAAAAGGTTAAAAAAAAAAAAAGAGTCCCTAGCAAGATATGAAATATTTACATTTTTTGAACATTCCAGAATGAGTCAATACATTGATTCAACTATTCAATTTCAAGGACTTTTGAAAATGATGTCACTTTCAGTTAGTTTTCAGACAGAAACAGCAGTAACACAATCACATATTCATCTTAACTCCATCTGAGCTTAATTTTCACCTACACAAGAACGAATCGTGAACACGATGAGGATGCCAAAATTCAGAAGAAATACATCCCTAATGCATCAATCTAGGTGGAGTCCCCAGAGTTCTATTCTTGAAGAGGCACATACTACAATCTACGACACAAATTGCTTATTAAAGGGTAGAAATTTAAGTGCCATTACATGAAAATTAATTAACAGCAAACACAAGTCTATCACCAATTATTATTTCATTCCCAGTACACTTTTCCGGGTGCAGCATGAAAAATATACATCAAACTCCATATATGCAGTGTTGCAAACATATTTATAAGAGGCTTTTCTTTAAAAGAGTCTTCCCTTTCCAAATGTCATTTATTCCTCATGTCTTCGGCCTGTAATTAGGTGATATTTAGTGTAAAGACAAAATTACAGCTAATTTTCAAGTTAAATATCCTGCCTTAAAAATTGGAGTGACATGCCCAAGTTCTCTAGGGAATTAGTTGCTCTCTGATCATTTCCATCCTCGGTTGAACAAGGTGCTCGTGCTTCCCTCTTGTCCGAATGTCATCAGTCTACTAGAAAGAAAAAATAAATAAATAAACCAATGTTCTAAAATGCGTGCAAATGGGCCGCCTAGGCGCGACACGCGGCCAAAACGCATCGAATTCGGGAATGCGTGGGAAAATGCGCTTTCCATCTAAAAGGCGGTGCAATGCGTGCGCCTAATGCGCACATTATGCCTCCTAGGCGCGCATTATGCCGCCCAATTTTTTTTTTTTTGTAAAAATCTATTTTTTTTATATAAAAATATATTTAATGCCTTAAAAATACGAAACGCATTGTGGCGCTTATTCTTCGCATTGACACGCCTAAACTTGTGATTCTTGATTCTCGACCTCGACGCAACGCATTACGCATTACGCATTTTAGAACACTGAAATAAACCAATTGGTTTGTCATCAGTTTGTCCTTGTCTTTCTCATTTCCCAATGAATGTTCTCAGCAAGAATTATATAATGTAATAATTATTAGGGTCTTGCTACATGTACCCTTTGAATTACACTTTGGGTTACTCGGGCGCACCTCCATGTGAGGGAGGGGGTGAGGTTGGGTAATCCAAAGTGTAATCTAAAATGGTTGAGTAGCATAATTCTAATTATTATTATAAAAATCGGACTAGACCGACTCTTTTAACTTTTTAGGGTTAATGGCAAGATGATTTTTTAAACATTGGGAACAATAGTTCTGCTTATCAATTGTTATTTAGCTAGTGAATTTGTTCCTTTAACAAAAATATTATAATTGATGCAGCAAGAAGGTAAGCAAGAAGTCGAGGCAGGTAGTGAACTCGACCCGAGCAAGTAGTGCAAAAACTGAGAGATTCTTCGGCATTCCAATAATTTCCTTCAAAGAGGATTTACATATGGAATTCTTGGGGGTTGTTTTTTGTTAGTTTAATTCATTCCTTTCATGAAAAGAATTGAAGGTACAACTGAGTTATTTAAGCTTTTGTTTGGACAAAATATCCACTGATTTATGGTGCATTTGTTTGTTGTGTTGTACTTTATGAATCACTGAAAGTTGCTGGGGTCATAGTTGTGCAATGGATTGAGTCCCATGACGATTTGGACACATGAAACTCGATGCACTTGAGATGTTAGGGAAGGACAAACTTATTTATTGAGAGTGTAAACCATACAAGATGTTACTCCTCTTTAAATTAATAATAAACAAAATGGATTGATTCATGGGGATGTTCCATTTTCAAACATCAACGCTCTTAAGAAGAGTATTCCAAGCAATGTGAAATTTTACCCTTTACGTGCCCCTCAAGATAATGCCTCGTATGGAAACACTAATCTCGCATTGGATATTATTGACTATTTGAACTTAATGCCATAATGATTCCCGAGATTTCATCTTAAAAAATCATCTTTTAACATTTGGTAACGTTCATTGTACATGACTGTGAGTACGTTTTCACTATAAAGGGTAAGGAAGAGGACAAAATAAAAACTTAATTGACTTCTATTCAAGATTGAATTTTGAATTTCTCGTTAGAGTTGTACTTTAGGCAAAAATTAGGTTGATCATCAAGATCATATTACCAATTTTGGCACCTTTGCAGTTGATCTGTAATCCCAACACCGATTTTAGATGATCACTTGCCTCGACTTACTTTAAATTTTCCCAATTTTTAGGGTATAAATAATCCTTACCTCATACACTTAACATTCTCATTCAGAGTTTTTCCAACACTAGAAATGGCATCCAAGATTCTCCTTTTGGTCGTGATTTCTGCATTTGCTTGCGCTATCAATGCAAGGACCCTTTCAATGGAAAAGAATGCAGCGGATGAGCAGGAGACATTTTTTCACCGTCACTTCCCTCCTTATCACGGGCCTTTCGGTGTTGGTGGTGGGTTTGGGGCTGGCAGAGGGGCTGGCTTGGGGGGTGTGGGAGCAGGGTTTGGTGGAGGGTCTGGCTTGGGTGCTGGTTCTGGTTCTGGTGCTGGAGACCGTGGAGAAGGATTTGGTGGTGGATTAGGTGCTGGAGCTGGTGCTGGAGGAAGTGGACTTAGGTCTGGTGGTATCGGAGGAACTGGTGGAGGGTTTGGTAGCAGCGGAGGGATGGGCAGTGCATTTGGTGGAGGAGCTGATGGAGGATTTGGAAGTGGACTGCCCTGAGCCTCCACTGGATTCCCCATGCAAAAGATGCTTCCCATCCGCAGTTATCTATAGAGAAAAATAATTTGCTAGTATATCTTTGTAGTTTAATTCCTATCTAAAAAAAGAATTCCAATACGGTTATTATCCATTGTTTCTATATCAAGAATGTCAGATAGAAGCTTCAATAGTTGAACATGTCAATTTTTATTCGAGATTCAAATGCCAAAAACAATTAAATAGGAACCCAAATGCTATTTCGAGAATAGATCGACTCTCAATGCAGATTTTCTTAGGTATAGATCGACTCTCAATGCAGATTTTCTTAGAACAAGAACAATTAACAAGATTTTTAAATTTTTAATTCTGTGCAGTACTGTATGCTATGAAATACTTCTTATAATTTATAAACATAGTTTACACCAGACTACATACGAAATCTCTCAGCACTTCATTATCTCCAGTTTCCACCCACATTTGACGTGAACTTACTGCATTCTTGGCCACTGTGGACTCACAACCTGCAATGACAATGTGCAAATCAGACCTTCATATCATATGCACATGAATATGAATCTGATAAAATGATAACATTCAGCGCATGTTCGCAAAAATTAAGATTTCTTTGTAACTTAGTAGTCAAAGAAATTTTTTTAATCACAATCACAAATTTTCTAGGACCCATAACTACTACCAACTTATCCGCCACTCATTTATATCACATTATAATTTCAACAGCTTATAGTTTTATCCTAATATTGATCTTGATTGCATTGACATCATGCTTGTAATAATGGTGAGACATGTGAGACAAGTTGTTTGCATATTTTGTAAGATAGATTGGACAATGGCAACAAGGTATCTAAAATCTTGTCTATCGTAGTGACTAGTACCCAATTCAATCATGTTCTGCATTCCAAACACGCTCTTAGGGAATCACAGAAATCAATCTAGAAAATAGAAACTGACCTCAAGTGTGCTAAACACTAGTCTCATTCGGCTTGCAACAAGTGATGGCTCTTCAGCACGACCCACCACTGCCAGTTGCTCTAGTTGAAGAGTCTTCACTGGAAGCCTTAATTTTTTGTTTTCAATAACGAGTTAGGCTCAAAACCACACACTCAACATAGTCAACTAAATGATAAGATTGCGAAATATTTTAATGGGACCTCACCATGCCATTCCTCTCATGAAGTATGCATTTGCTATGATTGCACAGAAGCCTTTCCATTGGAGCATCATTTCCTCCGACACGGGGGCAGCAGATGACCATCGAACTATGGTTGGTTGTGGTGTACATAGAATCGTGATGAATACAATGCTCAACCAGAGTATACATTCATCAACCTGCATGAGAATTAGGTAGTTCGGGTCTAATATTCATATCAGAATTTTCATTTCTCCACTCATGAGAGCAACAATTACCAAATCACTGTAACAATAAATGATCGGACACCTCCATTCAACTTCATCAAACATGCCAATCTAGGTAAGAAAACTGTGACGTCTCATCAACAACCGATAATTTTAAAAGTGAGTTTTCTAGCCAGGAGTTATTGTATGAGCCACTTGATCTAGTTAGCTAGGGTATGCCCGGTGTATTTGTACATGAATGTTGATCTATAGTAACTTCACATTTACCGATTAAAAAAAAAAAGTGAGTTTTCTAATCTATAAAGTACTGGCTGGCACTGCATCTATATCTTCAAAATCATTTATTAGGTCACACATTTGACCCAAATGCTTTCACCAGGTGGAAAAAATGAAGTTCAGAAAGCAATTTGATCAAGTGATGTAAATTCATTCAAAGACATGGCCTCCAAAGTTAACATATATGATAATAGTTGGCAAATACGTTGTTTATGAACTACAAGCATGTGAGAAGCTGTCTGGTATGGATAAATCTTGAAGTTTGTATAAAATGATAAAATAAATACTCCCGAGTTACGAGCTCAGAACCCAGCTAAAAAATATATACATGACTTAACATCTAGATTGGTTATCAAATGATTCCCAGAGATCATATATGAAGGTTGAAAACTGAAAAATAAATCGTATTCTATTGACGAAGTATCGACTAAACACTTTTGAGTCCACTTGATTTCACTAAACTTTTAACTGCCTGCAAACCTGATCACGTATTGAGGTTTTGTTGCCACGATAGATGTGGAAATAACAATGTCAAATGCTGATGAGTGATGATACATTTTGTAATCTAAACGTGCTATGACATATTGTCATCTGTGTAACTAACTTTCATGGACGCAAGTTTACTTACTTCTTGGGAGATGATCTTGGACTTTAGACCAGTATTTCCGCTATATGCTTGCATTGCATCAATTTCAACACCAGATTCTTTCATATCAGTAAGTTCTTCCCTTAAGCCTTCATCAGTGCACCCCAATGCATATGCGTTCACGCCAGCACTGATGAACTCCTAAATGATCGATCTCTTAGTATATGATCAATAACAAAAACAAAGTTGTCTCATGCCAAAGAAAAAAGAAAGAAAAATGAACTGCTGAATATACTTTTAGGTTGTCACCTCCTCCACGCTCCACAAAATTCCTGTATCGCCTAAACAAGCTGATTGCTATATTACGCGATGAGCGATACTCATTTTCAGGTGACGTTGAATAATTAGATTGGCACTAGACAAAAACAAGCAGATATTAGGAATCAGTAAAGCCAGAAATTGACAGATTTCTCTCTTTTATGCGTGTGTGCATGAGGATTAACTAAATAAATAATGCTCACCAGCGATATCTTTGAAGTGAGTTGATGTGAGAGATATTGGATCTTAAGTTGACTATTAAGATTCGTTGTGAAAGAGAAGCTTTGCACTCCTTTATTACAAAGGTGCCTAATAGGACTCGTTGAACCGACATGATTAACCAATGGACTAACATGTGTCAACTTGCAAGGAGCAGCCTCATGCAGCATGTTCATGTCAAAATGTGCTTGGCAAAAGGCCCCCGGAACGTGAACAGCAAACATCTTGGAACCATGAAATTCAAAACCTTGAAACAACAAAAATGCGTATTGGCTTATTTACAAGAATTCATATACATGCAACTTAAACTTTTAGTATCTCATATGTCAGTCTGCAATTTATGCAAGGAAAGAACAAGCCATCTTCTCTTCTCTCTATGGTTATATTTTGTTCATTCAGATTCTTTAATCCGATACAACTAAAGAAATTCGATTTGAAGTATTTATTCAGCAAACAGCAATCATACTCAAGGATTTTCAGTAAAGAGTACAAATTAGGTTCCAGACTTAATTCTGATCCTACAGTACGAAATTTCTTCCTTTAAAGCTCGTCTAGCAAAAAAGGGAGTAGATGGAATTCGATTTACATCTTTAATATGCCCCATTAGTACTCAAAATTGTAACTCTGTCAATAGATCACATCATAGAAGTGTGAGTAAGAGAAAACAGCTCTGTAAATGTATTTATTATTTACTTATTCTCATTGAATTTTAACTTCTACACAGGTGCTTATATACAAATTCTTTCAAGGTCAAATACGACGACTTTGAAATTATCATAATTCTTGCTTATTTTTGCCTGTTCAGAATTTGGAACTCTGTCAGAAAAATTGAGCAAAATAACTGATTAAAACTCAAGATTAAACAAAACAATAAACGATGATCACATGTCTATCCAGAAGATTAAACGAAAATTCAACTGACCTCATTAGGGTTTAGATTATCTCATCTGCAAAGAAAGAAATTGAAAATTATATATTCAAAATAGATGCGTCCCAGAAAAATTGGAGTTCACAACAACAGAAAAAATCAAGAATCGGTCGCGTTTTGTCATTATTTATAGGGAAAAATAAGTGGATATTAAGATATTTATGTATATGAAGAATCTATTTGGGAATTTCCTGGGGGCCACGAATTTCATGAATGGTTCTTGATTGTTTAGCGTATGATTCCAAGAAAATGGCTTCTTTTTTTTCTTTTTTTCTTTTTTTTCAAAAATAGAAATTTTTTCTGGCTGTTGTTTGGATTTCAAAAGAAGAAATTGAAATGTAGCAAATTGGAAAGGATATATTGCAACAATAGTCCTAATTTATACACATATAAACACTTTTACCCTCAATCTTTTTTTCCAATCTATTAAATTCCAAAACCTTTTTCAGGCTCAACCAAACACGATAGAGATTTCATTAAACCCCAATCTCTTCGAATCCACTGTCAATAATCAATCAAACAGTCTTCTCCGATCGTAATACACTAAACCCTCTCATTCGTCAAAACCTCACCTTTTCAATGATTCAGTTATTGTTTGCTTTGATTTTCGCCGAAACGGCGTTGATCGTGATCTTCGTGTTCAAGACGCCATTCAGGAAGCTGGTGATAATGGGAATAGATCGGGTCAAGCGTGGCCGCGGCCCAATCGTGGTGAAGACTGTAGCTGCTACAGTCTTCGTAGTGATGATGTCCAATGTGTACAATGTGGTGGCGATCCACAGACATTGGATCGAAGATGGTGACATCAACCCCACAGAACAGATTCTCTTGGCGAAGCACCTACTAGAAGCTTCGCTCATGGGTATGTTAATCATTCTGTCAAAAAGCTTAAATTGTTAGAATGGGGTTATTTAAATTTTGTCTCAACACCTCCGCTCATTTCATTTACAAACTGAATTAATTTTTTGATCAAACGTTCTAGTGCTCGTATCTGATAAATGAGCGGTGATATGATTTGAACCAGATCTTTTTGCTTTAGCTCAATACCACGTTAACAATCTCATGGAAAACCATAAGTTTTTATACTGTATTTCTTTCAATTTTCTTCAACAAGGTGTTTATTGCAAGAATTATCATTTAAAAAATAAAATTAAAAAGATCTGATCTTTGTGGAAAATCTGTGATGCGGAGTCTGCACTTTTGATACCAAAAATAAAAAACCACTGCAGTGTTCTGTATTTTAGTGCTAATTGGAACTTCGTAACACAACCACTTCATATGTGTATACCTTAACATTTTTTGAAATGATAACATTTAAGTTTGTTTTTCCAATTACAATTCTTTAATTCAAATTATTCTTGTTTATAAATGGATTTGGTAGTTCAGTTGATGTTTGTAGTAAGATTATATGTACTCTACAGTGGAATGAACCTGGTTGTGTAGGCTGCATAATTCCTGATCCAAAGCAACAAATAGTCCAGAAATCCTGAATCGCAGAGTATGACTTATGAGAGCGATTTATGTAGATACTCCCCAACACAAATCAATTCAGGCTCCAAATTATGCTCGTAACACACATTTCTGAAATTTTTTGAACTTCCATTATTTGCCTTTAACAGGAGGATCATTCTTTAATTACCTAACTAATGTCACATTTGGACCCTTGATGCCGACACTGATTCTAAAATCGAACCTCAGTGTGTGCAATTGTCTTTTATTGAACTATTGAGAAGGAAAATTTAGGGCTGTCCATGGGTCGGTTCGGTTCGGTTCTGAAGATACCCGAACCGACCCAAAACTTTCGGGTATTTAATAAATGGACCCGTCGGGTCCAAATATAATTATGGAACCGTTCGGGTTCGGTTCNAGTGCTAATTGGAACAAGCATTGTGTTGGTGAAGTATACACTATACCTTAACATTTTTTGAAATGATAACATTTAAGTTTGTTTTTCCAATTACAATTCTTTAATTCAAAATATTCTTGTTTATAAATGGATTTGGTAGTTCAGTTGATGTTTGTAGTAAGATTATATATATGTACTCTACAGTGGAATGAACCTGGTTGTGTAGGCTGCATAATTCCTGATCCAAAACAACAAATAGTCCAGAAATCCTGAATCGCAGAGTATGACTTATGAGAGCGATTTATGTAGATACTCCCCAACACAATTCAATTCAGGCTCCAAATTATGCTCGTAACACACATTTCTGAAATTTTTTGAACTTCCATACTTTATTTGCCTTTAACAGGAGGATCATTCTTTAATAACCTAACTAATGTCACATTTGGACCCTTGACGCCGACACTGATTCTAAAATCAAACCTCAGTGTGTGCAATTGTCTTTTATTGAACTATTGAGAAGGAAAATTTCCCTCATTGAAGATTGATAATGATTACTCATATGATGTACCTCAAACTGCTGTGGACCAAGACATCAGTATCAAACATCTGTAGAATGAATTGTGAAAACTGCTGAAAATTGTTTTTAAGTTTTGTAAGAAATATTTCTTGCATGCACAGCCTTTATTTTTCACTCTAGTTCCCGGCCATCGTCTTACTTTATCGTATGAGCCTCATGTGGCCTCTTTACTTCCTCCCTAGTTATATAAAAGGCACACACTGCTGAATTTTGGACCAGTTAAATTGTGCTACTCGTGCACACATTATATATTTCCCCCTTTTTTTTGGTAGGTCATCTAATATTAAGGTGATGCTACTTTAATTATTATAATCATATCTATTAGAACAACGTAAATTTGTTATGTAATGCCATTCAAAACTCTTTAGAATGGTGTACAGAACTTTTAACGGTGGTAACCTTGAGGGGTTGCTCAATTGGTCAAGCCTTGGGTTTGCTCCCCAATGATCATCAGTTCGAGTCCCCTCAGGACCACTGAGGTGAGTACTCAACTGTAAACTTTAGGGTCCCGTGGAATTAGTCGAGGTGCGCGTAAGCTGGCCCGGACATCCACGGTTATCAAAAAAAGAAAAACTTTTAACGGTGGTGTTATTAGTTAATATGGCATTTTGAAGAAATTTATGATATTTCTGCTAGATTTTCTGGCAATAAAGGCAGTGGACAATGGTCACACTTGTAGCATTTTAAATTTACACTTTTCAATTGCAGGTTTAAATTTCAGTTCTTTTTATCATATCAAGTTTAATGAATTAAATTTCATGCAGGATTTTCTCTCTTCCTTGCATTCATGATTGACAAATTACATCATTATATCCGAGAACTTAGCATAAGGAGGAAGACTATGGAAGCTGCAAATAAACAAAACAGAGTTTTTGAAGATGGTAAGACTCCAGTTTCTGAAGAAATCAAAGCCTTGGAAGAAGAGATTACCCCATTGCGGGCAAGGATCAAGCAGCTGCAGTCAGAACTTGAGGAAAAGACTGAAGAGGCTAACAATGCAGAAGCCCATGCTCTAGCTTTGAAAAAGCAATCGGAGGGATTTCTTATGGAATACGATCGCTTGCTCGAGGAAAACCAGAACCTTCGAAACCAATTACAATCATTGGATCGGTAATTTTCACATTCTGATAGCAAAAAGGGTATGTAAGGGAAAGACTTACCTGTGGTTTTTTATTTTCATTTTCATTTTGTAAGCTTGTGGAAGTCATCATTTTATCTAACACAAATGATATGGTTACTAATGACTTTCTTAATCACCTGCAATTTTCTCTGTCTGACTAAAAACAACACACACTGTCGTGAAGGATTAATTCAACTGAAGTAAAAAAAAAATTAAAATCCTAATGACTGCTACTCGCTTCAATTTCTTAGAATGCACAATGCCTAATTGCTTGTACCTTTTGCTAAAAACCATCCCATTATAGGGCAAGCAATATTATACATATCTTTTAAATATATTAGCTATCCTTAGAATCCATTTTCATATATAGTTAAAACGAGGCAGGAGGAAAAGGATGTGCATAATGCATCGGGGGGATGGCTTATTTAAACTGATTTTTGTTGTTATTGCGTGGAATTATTTCTCAATTCGTTGTACACTCAAGTCGTATGATCATTCAATATATGTTCTGAATTCATTTTTTGCGGTTCACCATTTAAATGTTGTGTAGCAAATGATGCAAATGTATCATCAATACCCTCTAAGGCATATTTTTTGATTCACAATATTAAAGAACTAGATTTTCCCTCTCTTAATCATTTCTAATTATCCCATCTTAGTATAGTTGAAATGTCATTAGCATTTAGAACATCTTGTGCGTGTTGCTAAAAAGAAATTTCTCTTTATGAAAGTCAATTGTCCTCCTAATTTGAATACCCGAACTGCCGAACACACATAAGATTCTCGCTAGTCCATACTATAATAGGCAACTTTTCATTCTCCTCTCCACAACTATCAACTGCTTCATATCGTCAGAACTAGGGAAAGTTGTGCAATTGCACCAGTAAAGTATGAAATGTACGAGCATGTTTGGTGCACATCAAAATGAGAGAATGCATTTTTGAAGTGGTGTGATGAGGAATATGTGGTTGTAAATGAAGGAAAAGTTATTGATGTGATGGAAAATATTATTTTATTAAAGAATATGTGGTTGAAAATGAGTAGAAGAATGAGAATGAGAAAAATAATATGAGTCAAACAGGGCGTAGAATTGATTTTAAATGCAGAGGTTTGTTGTACTCCAACAACTTTGTGTGAGTCAGATTTTTTTAAGAATGTGTGGTTAATAAAAAAAAAAAGGTTTTGATGATAGAATGTGTGGTTAAAAATGATTTTTGAAAAAAAAAGAGTTTTTGGAAAAATGGAATCCCAAACAAGGGCTTAGTTTCCCCCAAGCCTCTTGGTCATGGTTAGGTCACTCTATGGCTTGCATAAACTGCATCTACTAGTTCACTATACTCAATAAAACCGTTTGTTGCTTACCTCAACTGTCATTAAAGGAAGAACCGGTATGATTGCTCAAGTTGAAAATATGTTTGTATACATACACCTCCTACTATTAGAAACCTCTTGATATGCTCCAAATAAAAGATATATCTAAATTGATCGTCCTCCTAAGTGCTATGTGTAACATCCAAGTTTATTATGTGAAATATATAATTTGATCATCAAACTAGAAGAAACATCTCAATTGATCCTTCAATTATGTAAAAAACCGAATTTGATTAACTATTAGCGAATGAAAAGGATTGATCCAAAAAGATCTATAGTAAAGAGAGTAACCATACCCTGTGGTAAATAATAAAAAATGGAACTTTGGGGACTGATCTTACCAAAAATCGTTACTTGTTGAATTCCGAGCTTGATCACTGAGATTGATAACGAAAAAGATCTTACGGTACCGGAACCAAAGGCATCGAGGTTGCCCCTCCGCTGCATAAGTCAGCAAGGGAAGTTGAGAGAAAATATTTCTGAATATGTGTAAAAACGTCCCTTAATAATGGATGAGAGTGCCATATTTATAGTGGTAGGTAGCGTAGTTCAAGTAGGATTTATCTCCTTATTTTCAGGAGTAAGTATTGGAATATAAGTAGGAGTTTAGACTTTC